AGCCACAGCCACACGGTGCCGTCCACAGCCACACGGTGCCGTCCACAGCCACACGGTGCCAGCCACAGCCACACGGTGCGAGCCACAGCCGCACGGTGCCAGCCACAGCCACACGGTGCGAGCCACAGCCACACGGTGCCAGCCACAGCCACACGGTGCCGTCCACAGCCACACGGTGCCATCCACAGCCACACGTGCCAGCCACAGCCACACGGTGCCACCGCAGAACCGAGCGCCAAACACACCGCGGACCTTAGCGGAGGAAGCGCCCCTGTAATAGGCCAGGCATTCTCACCTCTCCAAAGGGAAGGGCTGAAAGGCTAAAGCCCGGCCCTGTGATTTGAGGTAGTTTTGTGGCTCTTTTAAGGCACAGTAACCATGGTCCTGATGCTGCAGTACGATGCATGACCCCATGTGCTCCCAGAATAACCTGTGATGTAGCACAAAGATTGTGTGCAGTGCTTCTGGGGTAACAGGGCTGGTGAGTGAATCTGCCTGTTCCTGCTCATTTGCTGTCCCATGAGCATCCACTCTCCCTGCACGTTTAACTTTCCTGCCATTGGACTCTATCGGTTTTCACTTGCATTTCAAGAGACAAGCACCCTCAGTTATCCCTGGATGTTTCTGCCATCTCCTGATATGAAGGTGTTTGTGTTGGTCCTGGGTTCAGTGGTCCACTGAAGTCATGGAAAGCAGGATTTCATGTTTTCTAATTTCACTGGGCCACAACCTGATAAACACCAAGTCCTCAGCTATGAGTGAGCACAAGAGGAATTGGCAGCACTCAACATGATAAGGTATTCTGAATCCTTATTTCCTTCTCTTCCCCAGAAAAAGCATTTTAAAATAAGCTGCTCTCCCTGCTGAACCAGGTGGGAAAAGTACATTCCTAAAGCAAGTTTACACAGAAATAATTGAAATTACAACAGCTGTTGAGCCTCAATCAAATTTACAGTTTTCTAGCAAAACCTTTAAATGCTTCTCTTGATAAGGAATAAAAAAATTTGAGACACTCTTTGTTCTTAATCCAGAGTAGCAAGTTTGCACTTTTATTTGCTGATAAAGCTATCATACTTTCAGTGTCTTTTGCTAAAGCTGAGCTGAAGCTTCAATCTGAAGATGTGCCTCTATTTCCAGACTTAATCATAAATGCTGTAGAAAGAGTCTTCTACAAACAAAGACCAGTTATGAGTGTTTTTAAAGTTTCAGGTTTACAGCCTTCCTATGTCATCACTCAGTTAACAATATAAAAAGTCACTATGCAGTTCAAACAATCCATGTTATTACCATGTACTCACTTTTATTTCAGGACCAGAGTCCAGTAATTCAAAACCAGGCATACCTCCTATTTCTCACTTTGGTGCTTTTTTATCTTTAACTCACCAGGACAGGAAAGTTTCACAGGGAGAAGTAATATATCATTTACTGAACAAAGTAGAAAAAGGATAGATTAAGAACAATGGCTTTCAGTTTCCCTTAATTAAACTGGACAAAGAGGAAATTATTCTGCCAGGAACTGAAAAACAGAGAAGGACATTCTGGTCTCTGCTTCAGCAGGGAAAGCACTGCACTGTTCAGAGTAGATTGATTTGTGAGGCACAAGACATGTTAGTCTGAGTTAAGAGAGTGAAAACAGACTGGCTATGTAGCAATGCTTCTTTAGTGCAATCTCATGGTAACCCACTGTGTATTGCAATCTAAAGAGCTTTGTGATACTCTGAGTATTAGCTTTACAAGATGCAGTTCCTCCGCAAAATATCCCATTTTTTCCATTAACTCAGTCTAGAATCATCCTGAATGAGGAAATCTATTCTAAATTTCTGAAATTCTGCAGTACCTTTTTTGTTGTGTGTCCTGGTTTAGGGGAAATTTGGGAAAGAACTTCCAAATGGGGTCCCTCCAGAAAAAAAAAATCAAGTGGCCCCTCTCCCAACTGGTTTGGGAAAAGATTTCCTTGGAGAAAAGTGGAAAAAATTGTTTATTTAACAGAAATTGAATAATGTTAAACAATAAAACCTCTCGCTGTTCGATGAGATGATAAATCAAAAAAAAAAATCCTTTTCATGGAGTGTAGCTCAGCTTGCTCAGGTTCTTATCAGTCCCTCTGGTGCTGGAAAGCGCTGAGGCCCAGGCCCCGGTGGGCCACAGGAGTGAGCTCCTGGGGCTTGTCTGGGTTTTCAGTCCAGAGTAGGCTTGAACACATCCAAGAAAAAGGGGAAAAAAAACCCAGTCCGGGGAACTTCTCTGCCTCAGCTAGCTAAAATTAACTAAAAGCAAAGGAGAGCTGTGTCCTGCTGTCTGTCCGTGCTGCAGACAGCACAGTCCAGGAGCAGGATGCAGAGGAGTGAGGGCTCTTTCTCAACACAAACTGCACACTTCTTCTTCCCCCCACTTCACTCTCAGAGCTAGTCTTAAAAGTGCAGAACTTAGTATGTAACATGAACAAGGTGATTGGGGATACAAGCATCATAAAGTCACCCCAGGACACCGTGGCTTGATTTTTGCAAAGTTGTCCAATGCAGACATTTGATCTACAGAAACAAGTAACACTCATATCAGAGGAGAATTTAACATTATATGCAACAAGCCATCATATTCAGTAGGGAGGCAACTAGATATAATCCTACTATTTGCTTATCAGGAACAACATGAGCCTTCAACAAATAAGAACAGTTGCTGAACACTTTCTAGGATGTAAGCTTAAAATTAATTACTTAAGTCATAGTTATTACTTCCTTAAAACTGAAGCAGACTATAGGCAATGGATCTTGTTTGTGTAGATGTGAGCATAAATAGCCTAAGGAATTACCAAATCCCACATTTTTAGATAGAGTGTACCTATGGCCAACAGGTCGAGAAGGTTTGGAACTCACAGATGGGCACTGGGGTCCTGTAGAAGATCTGGTTGTATTTGTTAAAGTGGTTAAGGCCCTCGCGGGAAGGAGCAGCAGCGCGCCCCACGGCGGGCAGGCGGCGAGGCTGGCAGGACTGAGGGGAGAGTCACTTGAGTGACAGCTGGAAGTGAGATTGTGATTGGCTGGAGGAACACGCGGACAGCGTGTGAGCGGGAAGTTGATTGGGTGATAGGACACATGGTCAGCAGCACTGCAGCTGAGCCAGCCAATGGGAGCCCTTCGTCAGTTGAGTTCTGTTAGGCCTTGCTGTGGCTTCAGTTAAAGCTGGTGGAGATTAAAAGCACATTGCGATTGATGCAGTAAAGGGGTCTTTCTTGGATGTGAAAGCAGATCCGTGTCGCTTTGTTGCCCAGTTGTGACTGTGTAAGTATGGCCCTTTGCAGGTAAGAAGCCAAGCCCAGTGTGTCACTTCTCACCTCGTGTTTCTGAAGGGTTGGAAGTGACAGCAGAATGCTGCAATAGTCACAGGTAACCAGCGTGTCGAAAGACTGAACGTCTTTAAGAGCTTGAGGTGATGTGATAGTCTCTTCTGAGAGAGGGAAATCATCTTTCTTTTGTGGAGTTTGTCCAATGGCCTTGCTACTTTTCAAGACACACCAGGTTCTGCAATCCTCATGGCCCTTTTGAGTCTTCTATTTCATGAAAGATGGCCAATTACCCTGAACAAAGAAATTAATTTTTTATCACTTAATTGCAAACATACAAACAGAAACAATCATCAGTAATGGGGGGAAATTGAGGCAGCTTCTGGGTTTGGTATGGTCCATGTGCTGAAACCTTTCTCTGCCAGATACTGCAAAATTGCACACAGTGGTATTTTGAAAAGAGGGAACTTGCAGCAGGAGAGAAGGCTGTGAAAGAAACCTCTGCACAACAAAGTAGCAAGAGAGCAGGAACTTGGAAATGTGAAATGCATACAAACTATTTTTGTTTCCTACTCAATGGCTAGCATACTCCTGCTATGTGGTTCTTTCCTCTGCTGCCTCTCTTACAGGAGACCCAGATAACACTAAGGAAAATCCTAGAAACTCTTGAAATCTCCCCCTTTTAGGAGTGAAGATCTCTTACCAATTTTTGCGAACTTGCTCTCTCCTTGTCTTTTTATTCTGCTGGATAGCCTTTCGTCTAAAAACAGAGAGGAAAAAAAACCCTGAAACTGAAAGGATCTGTTGCAGTAACTCCGCCCCAAACAACTGTTTAGCCAAAAAATTCTTTAAAGGAGAAACAGTAACATTGCCAGACAAGAGTTGGGGTTTGATTTTCAGTGGGAATTCCTCACACAGATTAATTTGCTAATCCTTAGGAAACTCTGGGGTCTCAGTTTCTTTCTTTTCCCATGTAAGTTTGATTTACATTAGCTGGTTCAGCAGGTGGCAGGGGCTCCTCTGCCCCCAGCACCCAGACATGCTCCGGCCCAGAAGCAGAGGGAGCCTGTGGTGCCCTGAGGAGCCTCAGGTCCATTGAGGTCCCTCCAGGCTGCAGGGCCTCAGGGCTGGCTTGTGGTGAGCAGGAAGACAGGGGCATGCTGCCATCCCCTTTGCCTCTTGAGGGATGGTCATGATAGTACTCAGCCCCACAGACCCACCCTGGCCTCCCAGGGGCAATGCTGCTTCCCTTGGACAAATGTTGCCAGCGCATGGGAGGTGTTTTGCCTCCATCTCCACCTAGGAGAAACCCAGCATCAGTCCCCCAGCCGCACGTGGGCTGCTCAGCCATGCCCAGCAGATGCCCAGGCCTCACTGGTTCCCCAATGACCCTTGGAGCACTTTGGGCTATCCAGGTACGTGCCAGGTGAAATCTCCAACCTGTATTAACCAGCACTGACTTTCCTCCCTGGTGATAGCTTGCTTTGCTGTGGCTGGGATGGACCAACAGCAGAGAGGCCCCAGGAACAGCAGATCCTGTTTCCTCCTGGACCTCAGCAATAATTTTTTAAATAGGAAACTTCAGAAGATATATGAATTAGAGAGAAGAATGAACAGAACTTCATGTTTTCAATGCCAAGAAGTTTCAAGACTTGCTGAAGGAAGGTTGAGCATTTCTGTACCTGTTGCTACAACTGATTCCTTGTAGCTGTATGATGCAAGTGGTGTCTCAGATATGACAGACCCTACCCAGTGTGGAATAATGGAATACAGAAGATGCAGAAAATACTAACTGACCTTCTTAGTCTGTCAAGCAGCGGCACTAATATTGATTCTTTTACTTTGCAGGAGTACCAGAAAAAATCATTGCACAATGTATCATAATGCCATATACAACAGCTGCCACAGATGTTTCTCAGAAATTGGTGTGGTTCATTTCCCATCTAAACAAGCCCCTTCTGTCCCACATTTTTCTCTGGGAAAAATAAAAGAAGAAGAAAAAGGAAGCGCAGTAAGCCATTATTTAGATCTGGGAATAATTAGTGTTTATCTGGATTTTGTAACACAAATTATGTAATGAAGCAGAGAAAAGGCTTTTGAAAAAATATGTTAATGAGATGGCAGCTAAGGGAGAGGTTACAAAGCTGCCAATTCTGAATCAAATTTTTAACATGATTTTCTTTTGTATATTTTTTTTTTTGGTAGTCGTTAGCCTGCACAGCATCTGAATGGGTTTTAGGGCACAAACTGTATAGGAAACAACAATTCTAGGTCAAGAAAGACTGATCAGCTACATACACTGACTGAGAAAACCCCACTGACTCAAAATTCATAATGAGGGCTTTTGTGTAGAAAGTTGTTGGGCACAGGGATTGTGCCGAAAGGACTGTTCATTCAGAGTCTTGAGAGCTTTTCTTGGAAAAATATCAGATGCTCCACTGGGAACTTAGTTGAAAGCTACTCCTGAAGCAGGACAGTGGACTGGCAGTAACTGGGAAGGACCGATTGGAGGGAAAATGGAGAGCAATGAAGGAGTGGTTTTCTCTGAATGCTGGTAATAACTCTTTCTATTTAAATTCTGTATAAACCTTCCAGAGCATAACATTACTATACAAGACCTCTTCTAGGCATCTTTTGAAGGCAAGAATCACATAGAGGTAAGTTCTGAGCTGGTTGTTTTTTAAATGTGATTTTCAAAAGCCCAAGTAGAAAACATTCTATTTCTGCTAAGTCCTAGAATATCTCTGGTTCAGTTGTTTTAAATTTTGTTTCTCAGTGTCAAGTATAATATGACTTACAGTCCTTGTTTAATTTTATTTTGTTAAAACTTTTGTACCTCTGGCTGCTGCACGGAGCCTGCAACGTGAAAAAACTTTATAAAGAATGTGAGGAGTTCTTGTCTTGAGAGAGAGTAGCAGTTATCTAGGTCAAATGGTCTGCTTTAGAACAAGAAAACTGTACTTGTGTGCTTGGGCAGCATTTGAATTAGAGGCAGAAAATATGTCTATCTGTAATTAAATGAACTAGCTGCTTCCTGTAAAGCCACCTTTTTACAGACCATTTCTATCCTCCAATAACTGGAGTAACTGGGATGATTGCCTTGTAGAGATTGCGATCTATCAGAAAAGCAGCTTCTCAGGAATGAACTAAACTAAAAAAATAAATCTTTATTTTACAGTTTTTCTACCTGGACTGACCCTGGAATTCCTTCTTTCTGGGATTGATTTTCAGTCCGTTTCTCTCCCAAGTAATACAGGTCAGCCTTTTTTTACTAGACTTCAGCAGTGTCCCACTTGGACTTGGACTGCAACTCTTGGCCATGGTTCACATTATTGACTCTGGCAATTTGAAGTATGAAAGAGAAGATTGCAAGACTCTGCATGTGGCTTGACAATGCTGTCAAGGTCATCTAGGCATTTGCTGTCTTGGAAGGTGTGGCTGTTCCTGCCACAGCTGTTCCTTGTCCAGCCTAACTAGCCCAGTCTCCTGAGCTGGCTCTAGTGCTTACTGAACACTTCATTGAATCTATTCAGCTCACTAACAGCAGAAAAGTGTTCTGCTTTCTTTGTCAAGTTAAATCAAATGAGTGCCAGAGCCACCAGCTGAGAAACGTTGCAAAGGCCAGGGAAGGTTGCTGGCAGTGGGCCACAAGATGGGCTTGGCTCTGTTACTTAAACCCTTGCTTCTTGACATGCTTCAAAATACCTGTGTTTATTAGGGCAGGAGAAAAACAAATGGGAGAAGTGGTATCTTCTGGATAGTGGGAGAAGCCAGGAAAAGGGATTTCAGGTACAAGAGACTGATTCAGGTCCTGGTTCCACTTCATGTCACCACCCATGCCTAAGCTCCTTTGTAACACAAAAATTTGAGTTCCTTTTAAAACTGATTTGAAACTTACTACCAAGAACAAGAATAGTACATTATTCAGCCATAGGGTATCAAAATTTGGCCCAAGGGAGCTACAGTCTTCTGCTTCTAAATGATGTCTGCAACCAAAAGCTAATTTTACCCACTGCTTCTAAAGCAGTATTTAAAGCCATTGCTCTCTTCTATGTTCGGAGCCAATACTGACTGGAGGAAAGGATTCTCTTATCTTGAAGGTGGGAAATTAGTGCTCAATTAGCATAAGCTGAATTTCAGGTGGTGGGAGATTTTTGTTTGAATGCTCTTTGGACCACCTAAAACTCCTGGATGTTTTGCAAGTGCTTAGGCTCTCTGCAGTTCCCTTCTATCCAGCTATCAGGCCAGTTTTGTAAAGTAAGCAGCCAAAACTTTGTCTTCTTGGCACAATGAAAAGGAACCTTATCATCAAATGATATGAAGGCAAGTTTGCAGTAATTCTGCACAGTAAGAGAATATTGATTACCTTTTCTGTATTGACAAAAAAGGGACTGAGGCATGAATTAGCTAATTTAATTGCCCATGGAGTTCCATGTCTCATCCCCAGGTACAGCAAGAAAATCTTCTTTCACAATATTAGTCCATCTAAAGGTATCAACATATTTTTTGTCTTTCTCTTTATTTTCTTTTTTCTTCACTGCATCTTATTGAAACAAGAAGACAACAAATTATATTTGCACTGGACTCAAAGTTCACCTTAGAACAACTCCTTTAGAATTAACTATTTGCATTTTCTTATTTAAGTGCTTCTAGTCCTTTTTCTTTTTTGACTAGGAACCATTTATTCATTGGAGACAGGCCACAGGAATGCAAGTTTTGGCCAATTCCCCATTTTCTGCTAGACTTTGCACTGGTGTGAAGTTTCCTCTGTGTTGGTAAGTTACCCAGAGGGACTACTTCGAAAGGTTTGAAGATTTGGAATCTGCCCAGATCCGGTTGGCTATTGTTTTCTCAGTGGGTATTCACTGCTTTTATAAATGAAAAGTAACGTTGGAGTGTCTTTTTTTGAACTTCTGTCACTCAAGTTCCTCTGGTCAGCAGAGGACTAAGCGTGCAAGCTGTAGTCAGAGCTGCCTCATTAGTTGCTGTGGAATCTGAAATTCTTTATTTCTGTGAGTAAATGCATAGTAAGACTGTATTAAGAGACTGCAGGATCAAATTGTTGAGATATGATTTATGCTGACTTCAATTTCAGGTGGCTGTTGCCATTCCAGAAGCAAAACCTAAAATAAATACCAACAATTTGTTTGTCCTCTGTCTAGTTGTCCCTTTCTGCCTTCTCAGTCGTGCTGGCCACCATCAGTAGGGCTGTCCCTTTGGATTCCGAGGCTGCGCTGTAGACGAAGTCACTGAATTCAACATTAAAAATAACCTTTCAAGTTAACCTTCCTGGGTTATTTTTAACCCAGATCCAGAGGCACAATGCCTCTCAAAATAATAGCAAAACACAACCATGCATGCCTGCACAGACCTTTGTTTTGGGGAGACCCCCACTATGTTTTTAACTCTCCATTTCCCTGAAGGAGCTCAGTCCTTCCCCAGCACTGTGTGAATGAGCGAGGGACGATCCTCCCTTGGCGTCACCAGCACCTCACGGAAGTCCTGCTCCCGAAAGGGGCCGTGTCAGCACCTGGGTCCCTGCAAGCGACGCGCACTGTGCCAGTGTGTGCTCGCTGGCACCTTTCTGTGGGCTCTGTGAGCAGGGAGAACACTCCCACAACACTCCCGACTGGTGCGATAGCTGGTACACTGCCGTTGAGCCGCTTTCCTTGGCACGAAGGGGCTGCAAAAGCCCCGCACGGAGGTGGCCGTGTCCCGGCGGCCCGGCAGGGAGGGCTGGTCGGAGCGGGGCCGGGGCGCTCGGGGCGGCCGGTCCGTTCCCGGTGCCCAG